ACCAGAAGCAATTCGTTGTTTTTTTTTTCATTAAAATTGCAAGTTTTTCTGAGGGCATTAGAGGGATTAGAGGCATTAGAGGGAATTACTTTAAAAGACCCGGGCTTTTAAAGTAATTTAATTTATAAATACAAATTTATGCCACTCCAAAGTCGAACTGTCATGATTCTACAATGACAATGGGCATTCTGCTCTCTTAACTTTGATTTTTTATTGATTTGATTTTTATATTTCTGCAAAAATCTGAAGTTGGGTGGCTCAGTTGACAAAGCAAGATCGTTGTTACTACTAATTAAATAGGAATTGAAAACGATTGTTTTTTTTTTTTAAGATACACTTCGAATTTTAAAATTCTAGGTAAATGACTTCCGTGACCGTGTTAATAAACAGCTATGATTCCTTCTTCACCACTTGTACGAGTATACTTGTATCACAAACTAACACATGTGTTTTTTTAAACAAAATGATAATAAAGATTAATTAATTAACTCGTTTATTCAGTATAAAAAAGCAAAACTATGTTCAAAAATATATATACGTCACTTCTAATGATATTTTGTGACGTACAGGGTTTTTCCTAATATGAAATATTGGGAAAAACCCACTTGCAATTCGATACTTACTTAATATGTCAATAAAGTAACGGTTTAGCAAAACACACAGAACTTCTTAGAAAAGTGTGCAAGCAGAACAAAGTGTAAGTTGGATCTTTCGGTCGAAAGTAGTCTCAGTTTTATTATATATTTTTTTTATTATCATATTTAAAAAGACAACGCCCGCATTAGGAATATATATTCCTGTATCGCGGGGGACTTTACAAACACACATGAAACGGACACCAGAACACCCAGACTCAGAACAACAATTTGTTTGTCACACAAAGTGTCGTCCCATGTGGGGTTTGAACCCACAACACTCGGCGTGGTAGGAAGGGGCGTGGCGACCACTTAAACCACTACGCCATCCGTGCAGTCAATGCTTCTACACATATTCGGTAAAACCAGTTAAGCGACTGATGTAACGAGGTTATTTCAGTATCGATAACCGCTTAAGCATTTATGCGTTACCAGCCTTAGCCAGACCTACTGACTGTAGTATCTGTGTAAGTGCTGTTTCATTCCTTTACTGGTGCTTAAGTGTTGGTTCGTTTCATAGGCGCATGAGTAGAAAACAGATTTACAACGCAGTGTTTATAGGTACTAACTGTAGCTCGTGTCTATCCTTTTTTACCCTACTGCGCCAGAAGGAGGGTTTTAATTTTCGAGTGTATGTATGTGTATGCCTATATTTATTTATTATTTTAACACTAGCTTTATTACACCTAGACTCCCCGTTGTTACTTTTATGTTTTGTCGATTTGTCCATCCAAAGGTTGCCTGCAAGAGATTGCTTTTAGCAATATATCTATAAATAAATATCTTTTTGTTATATCCATAGCCTGGGAGATGTCGTTAGGGTCGTCTGTCGAGTCGTCGTCAAGTATATGTATATAAAAATTATAAAAATTAAAATCGGCGGTTTGTAAATTTTGAGTACCTATACGTTTTCTAGCAGTCGGTGTTTTTGTTTTATTTTTTTCATTAATTACTTTGTTACCAGCTTTGTTAAACCAACAACCTTCACGCATCGCACGCAAAGCAAATCATGCATTTAAACAATATTAAAACTCAACACCAAGTGATTTTCAAAATCAAGTTTTATGAACTAAATACTATCATACCCTAACACGCATTAAAATCGCAGTAGTGACGACAAAGCTGATGGAGCATATCGATCCATCCACACTAACACCTGTTCATATATACGTATACACTTAATAATAAACTTAAGTGTATAAAAGGCATCCATGGAAATACCACAAAACCGCTAGTGTAATCCGTAATTAAAGTAAAAGTAGCGATAAAATTGAATTAACCGAAAAATCTAAAGGTTAAGCACAAAGGTCATTGAAAGTTAAAACATACTTTGGTAAATGAATTGCAATAAGATGTATTAATAGTAATCGTTCCTAGATGAACATAGTGAAATCATAAAGTAATAATTACAACACCATAGTAAGAAAAATCATAGTAAACTACGCAGGACAACACCGCTGCAAGAAGAAGGAAAACTTGAAACAAACCTTTACCAACCCGTCTGGTCAGCGTGGTATAGTAGGTCAATACCTCCTTTCTAAGGAGATGCTTATGTCCAGCATTGGACAATTAAAGGCTGTTGATGATGACGAATAAGACAGGACGAAAGACGAAAGAATTACTTAACACCGGTGTTCTGTGAGGCTTTGGTTTTACTCCGGACGAGTCTTGCCCGATGTGCCGAAGCGTGGCTGTCCCACGGTATACATTTATTTAAACAAATAAATAAAATTGAAGTGTCTGTTTGTAATGTCAAAATAATAGGTTTTCATGCTCACACATTTTTTTCGCCCCGGCAAACCCTTATAAAATTTTGATCGAAATCGAACCTCATGGGCTACAGTTAGACATGGCTCCACACTCTTACTATTAAAAGATAGATAACTTATTAAATTCCTCTCAATTATCAAGAAGTTGTTTGAGAACAATTTGAACTAGTTACTTTGGTATACTTTTACAATGCGCTGTTCATATGGTAATTAGCTAACGACACATAGAGCGTGACGGTTAAATGTGAAAACGTTTATTAGGACAAACGATGTCGGTGAGAGAACACACCTGTACGACCTCGCGTAGTCAGGCTTTGCGCTACCTGGGGACTAATTTAGTCACATTATCATTATTACCCGTTTACTTCATTTTCACTCCTGTTAATGGTGACTGATTGGCTCTTGTCGTCCATAGCTTATCAAGGCTATTTTCGTTCCGAAAATTAGATTAATTTTCATAATAAATTTTGAGAATAAAATTTTAGTATCGTACTGATAATGGTAATGATAGATATATGTATTGTATTATATATTGATATATGTATCATCATCACATCACATCAACAGCCTTTAATAGTCCACTGCTGAACAAAGGCCTCTCCTTAGAAAGGAGGTTCAGGCCTACTACACCACGCTGGCCAGACGGTTTGGTATAAGGTTTGTGTCAAGTTTTCCTTCTTTTTGCAGTGCTGGTGTCCTGAGTTGTTTTGCACCCTAAGTCGGCACCTCTTACGACACCCACGGGATGATATATGTATGGTTAACAATATTCTTAAAATGCACTTTCTCGAATACTAGAAATAGAAGAGAAAACAAACGATTAAATAAAAAGAAGATTGTGAAACTATGAAAACTGCGGGAGATCTTGTTCGTATGACAATACACTATTTATAAATAACGGTTTACCCCCACTAGCTTGTAAATGAAACAAAGTTCAAAACAAGGAAAATTTCCTCTATTTAGGTTTTAATAATTTCTTTAAATAGGCGATTATTATTTTTAATTGAAATCGGTCGGCTAATGGGGTCAAGTACTGCTAGTTTCCGCACTGGAGCCGCGAAACTGATTCACTACCTTCAACGTAGGGGAACCTAATCAGGACCTTCGGACCATAGGTGCTACCATCACAATACTGTTTTTTCTTCTGTGGACTGGTGGCTTCGACTATTAGGCCCGGTATTCACCAATGCAGACAGAAGAGGACACGAGAGATGTTTTTTGAATAACCAACTTGGACTTGGGCTTGACAGCTTACAGTACTTGACTGGTTTCGAGCTCTCACAGTTTACTTCTCTGCTATACACAGCTCAATTCACCTCTCCGCTACGCTAGGCGTCTCCTCTCCGCTTTGTTGGAAAAAACCTACCAGCTTCGCAGCCCATCTCCTCGTCTCCTCTCTGCTTTGGTGGAAACCGAGCCTTAGGCCTGGTATGAAGTCAGCTGCGTAATGACACAAATTCTGATACCTTATACAGGGAGCTTCAGTTATTTTCTGTACCTTGCAACTTAATGCAGACTCATGTAATGCTTTAATAATGGTGGCCATAATGAAGTTCGTAAACCTTTGCTATCAAAACTTCATAGAAACGGTGTTAAGTTAATGTGGCAACTTGATGGATGGCCTTATAATGTTAACACAAGTTTTTGTTATGTTCAAAGGTCATCGTTCTCGTTTAATTTATTTTAAACCTAAGCGTAAGATATAATCAGTATGATAATATCTGATAACCGTTTGTATGAAATATATTTAAAAAAAAGCCGTGTGGTGTCGTGGGACACCCGATAGGAACGAAGTTGTGACGATCGAGTAAAACTGATTTGACACGATTTTAATTACAACGCCATCTATGAAAGCGGCTATTACCTACATATTAAAAACAATTAAAACAATTTATACATTGGTAAAATCTCCTTGCGAAATGATTTCCTATCTATTCGATAGATGGCGCTGAATGTCTGACAAGATGACACGAAAATAAAGAGCAAAAAGCCAACATCACGCGGTATTCAAAGGCGGTCACCCATCCAAGTACTAACCACGCCCGATGTTGCTTAACTTCGGTGATCGGACGAGAACCGGTGTATTCAACATGGTATGGACGTTGGCGAACGTTAAAGCAAATTTAATGTATGGTATCCACAGTTAGACGTCAATTTATATTAAAAGTGTCGTTCCAAATTTTCGTACGAATTTTTTCCGTCTAGCCCCCTTTCACAACGCGCGATAAGGAACTTCGTTCCAATATTATTTTTAATACAACAACGTCATTGCCATAAAAATACTGATATCTCAGTCCAAAGGAAAATTGTACAAGAAATCATAGCAGAAGTGTTAAAAGGTGTAACGGGTGCATGATTTCTAAAAAATAAATCCACATCATTTACCAAAATTACAGCCATTAAGGTAAATTAGTCTCATTTTTGTATAGCGACCGCAGTGTTAGCAAAATGTCATTTGACTTAATTTTAAAGACACTTAAAGAATCTTAAATCTTTTGTTATTATTTGTAATCATAAGTATGAAAATAAATAAAAATAATATTGGTAATCTGCAATAAACTACAGAACAATATATATAATAAATAAAATAACTTACCTGTCATGTTGAATCAATGCCATAGAACTAGCCACTAGATCTTCAAACTGCTTCTCACTCGCTGAACTGCCTTGTCTCTTGTGGTGATGATGGGGTGTATTAGCTGTTGACGATACTGGAGTCAAAGACTTCTGCACTTCGCAGCTCAAACTCTTTGAAGAGAGATTTCCACTGGATTTGCTACCGAACAGTCTCCATGAAACTGATGATGGTGCATCTTGATTCTTTGATGAACTGTTTTTCCATGGGAACACTCCTCTGTAACAAAAAAAAATTTCTTAGTAATTGTAAGTTGTTAAGTGTTTACTGTTCTATAAAAAAAAAAGATTAATCGCCATAAACATCACGTCAACATAAACAATACCGATTGCATCTAAACATTTAAAGAAAAGAAACATTTATTACAATTTTATTTAAAAAATCGAGCAACTATCATCTCACTTAATCAAATATTTAATTATAAAACAAACTAAGTTTCTTTCAAAGACCGACTTATCTAGAAATCTGTTTTCCTTATCATTCACGCATCAAATAGCCGTAGCAGTAGAACCATCGAAGCGTAATAACAGTACCTATTGTGATTAAGTAGACAGACGCTTCCTTTTGAACATAGGTAATGATAGTGTATAATTTCAGAGTGAAATACGTGTGGTGCTGACAGAATTGCGGTCAGCGACAAAAAGTTCATTTTTTTATTCATTTACTATATTATTATAAGAGGTTTTAAAAAATGTCAGTGGAATTTTAGCATACGGACCTATTTTTATCTAATTTATTTTACCGAGACGATAGCGAATTAAAAAAAAACAAATCTGCGCCTAACGAAAATACGAAAACAAGATAATTTTAGAAATTAGCAATATCGTTCCAAATCGCACGGTTCAGTTACTGCAATAAGGTAATCTAATCTGTATATTATTTCTAGTACTCGTAGTTTTTGTTAATAAAAGATTTGAAGACTTCATAGTGGGGCTCGATCAATGCGGTCTTTATTAATAGTAGAATCGATAACTTAAATCCTATTATTTTTAGTTACGTTGTAGAGTTGTACAAAATATGGTATTTTCCACGTCAACACTCGGAAAAAATATAATTAGCTAAGTTTATTTAGAGCTTATATTTGCGCAATTTATAATTTTTGAACAAATTTACTCAATTTTAATCCAATTTTCAAATGCCTATAAGTTGATTGAAATAGTGGGTTTTGTAAAAAAGTTTATCCTAGAAGTAATATTTTATATAATAATTATATAAAATATTACTTCTAGGATAAACTTTTCAACTGGAAAAATCAATGAGGGATGACTAAACTTATTGCAATCATTAATTAGGCAAAGTAAATTGATAATTTCAGTAGCTTCATTTTATCTCATTTAACAAGAATAATTAACAGCGATAAACGAAGCGAAATCATCTCTTAAGCTTCTCTCTATATAATAATCTTAATATCTCTTGTTGGAAACGAAATAAAATGACATGAATGAATGAATTCCCTTATAATTCGATTTACGAATTTATGGCAGATTTGATTTAAGTCTTTATCCTCGATGTTATATTCTTCTTTCGTTAGTCTGTGTATTTTCACTAAGAACTGTGTGACGTATCATGTGACGTAGGTAAATATTTTCTGTGGCGTATAACTCTCACAGCCAAGGTTTATACGGGATACGAAAAGAAAAGTATATCTGAACACAAGCATATCTGACTGGAGGCATGGGTGTTCTTTGCAAATTTGTTCTTTTTTTTAAATATCAGGTTTACATCTCCATTTCTTAGCAACAGGGGCACGATACTTAAAGAAACATATGTTTAATACAGATGTAATTGACAGCTCTTAACAGTATTTACATGGAGGCAGAAAAGAGATATATTTTCTAAGTGCACACTTTTAAGGCCACATACCGGCCAAACACGTGGTGACATCAGAGGATTAATAAGTTGGGGAGATGGGACGGTGGTAGAACTATCCATCGCATAACGCAAAATAGGCGCAGACCAGACGTCGAGTTAGGGAAAATACTTAAAAACAAGCGAGGAGGCAAGCTAGCAGAAGTGTTTACAGAACCAGTGAAAAATTGTGGTTAGTGTTTTTAAAAACTAACGATTTTATGGGATGCTCTGTGATGAATCCGAAGGTTTGAGACTGGAGATGCCTCTGCATTCCACAAAATTTTATGACCAGTCTGTTGAAGCTGTACGCTTGTGGAATGCATTGCCGATAAACATCAGGCGAGCGCAAACAATAAATAGTATGAAGAAAATGGTTCAAGAATTTTATGTAAATGGTTTATTTCGTTTATTTTGTATTTGTGATATATAGGTATATTAAGTAGGTCTAGCTATGTATTATATTTAGTTAATTTTACCTCTTCTATATTCATTAGCATTTAACCTCTCAAAACTCATTGTAACTTAAAGTACTACTGTCTCTCCGAAACGTTTTGATAAATCCTAAAGTTGTCTGGAAGATATTGCTCTTAGCAACAAGACCGTCCTCTGTAGATAACATGTCTGACATTTATATACATAGTATATATATATATATATATTATTATGATTGACAAATATGTTTTGTGTTAAACATTTTATGAATAGAAATAAATATTATTTATGAGTATGAGATTCCAAGACATGTCAAAAGTGAAATATTTACATGACACGTTTTAATCCATTAGAGATAGATAGATAGAAAACTCTTTAATTGTACTGTTTTACAAAATAGTATATATATATATATATATACTATGTATATATATATATATATATATATATATATATATATATATATATATATATATATATATATTATGGATTGGAATGGAATGGATTATGGATTTGGAATATTTTGATATAGCTTTATAGTGCCGTAGGTTTGTTAACGTATTAAATATATAGAAAGTTTTATTAGATTGAGGTCATTTTCATACAATATATGTATTGAGTACTAGCTTTGCCCGCGACACCGCTTGCGTGTATGTCGGTTACCGCGGTAAAAAATAGCCTACGTTGTTCCTTAAGAATTAAAGTTTCTCAATGCCAAATTTTATTACAATCGGTTTAGAGGTTTAGCGGTTTACCCATGAAAGAGTAGGTAACAGACAGACAGACAGAGTTACTTTCGCATTTAAAATATTAGTAGGGATAAGTACTCTAACGGCGGGTGATGATAAATGCACTCTAGCAAAATATCATAAAGATCCTGATATATATATATATATATACATTGCAGCCCACCATACCTACCTATCGTTAATTCTTTTCATTTCGAATTCACAAAAACTAAAGAAAACACAAAGCTACAAGAAAAAATAGTTTTTATTCAGTTCTGGTTGTGAAATTGAGAGGATATTGCAGTCTCTATTGCCACAATTATGATCGCTACAAGAAAGAGGTGGCAAACCACAAAGTTCGTGAGACATAATTTAGACGCCCTTATTGTATTCGATAGCAGATATCAAAAATATCAGTGTATATTTTTCAAGTAATTTATAAATATATTTTAGGTCATCCTCATCTTAGTTCTAATTTATCTTAACTAATAATAATGTTAAAACCCCAAGTGTGAACTTTATCGCAATCAAGATTGATTACTTATCTAATCACCAGTCAGACATCTATAGTGACATATATCGAATAAACTTCACGTGAGTTCATAGATAACAAAAAACCTACTTAATTTGTGATAAGTAAATGCATATAGTATATAACCAACAAAGCCCTGGCAAAATAACACGTCGTTTAAACCTGCGCCTATGCATGGTTCACACGAATTTCATTGTGCTTGTGTGTGTTTATAAAACCTTTATACTGCCAACAATTACAATCTACATCTTACTTTCGACTTAAAACAAAGCTTATACGACAAACAAGAAAAACACTCGGCTCAATTGTGTATGCGCATGCGCAAGAAGCCTCGTAGTCTGAATGTGAAATATTGCCTTTAATGGAATTTCAAAGTACTCAATCCGAAGTTCTAAAACGACAGATAAACAAAAATAAACAATTGTGGTTAAAGCCGCGCAGGCGCGTTGTATTGGAATGCTATTGTGTGATAATTCGAGCTCGTCGGCTAATGGTAACTTCGTCGGATAATATTTTAGTCATTAGTATTATTGTATGAATTATATACCTAATAAAGCAATTTAGTATAGGTATAAAATAAGTTTGCCGACGGCCGCAGAGCAAGTATCACTAGCTGTAGATAAATCTTTCAGGCTAGTGGGTAAATATATTTTTACTGTGCGTACGTAATACAGTAATAAAAATGTTTTGTAAGATGAAACAAATAGACGTGTTCGTTGGATGTTTTCCATAGGGTCTTCATCCTCGTCAAACGAGGGTTAGCCAAAATAAAAACAACTCCCACCCTACTCCCACCCATACTCGAAATAAAGGCGAAAATTAATTTTTGTTAAAGTTCGAAAGTGTCAAACCCTCTCTCTTCGTAATGAAAAAATACGATTTAAATAATATTGTTGTTAACCCCTACAAATAAACTAAAACGAGTTATATAAGAGTGGAGACAAATTCCCGAATGTAATTCTAAGATCTCCCAATATTATATCGGTCAATAAAATAATGAATTCTTGACGAGAATAAGTTCACCTCGTTAATAAAAAACTAAACCACATATTTTATTAAGATTATGATAACACCGGTGTGTTTCCACACTTTTATTTTTAGACGAGTTTAATTGGAAACATAAAAACTATTTCGTGCTCTGAGTCTCTGAGTACAAATTAAATTAGCAAAAGGAACAATATAAAATTCTAATGCGTGGGTCGACCTTCGTGCAATTTGCGTAGTACTTTAATATGTAATAAAAAATACAATCTTCTTAATGTCCATTTAATAAAGTACTCGGTGTGTATCGAGTATAGGTCATGTTTCGTTTATCTTATATTGTAGCCACACAACACCAGAAGAGCAGGTACATAAAGACATTCGTATCTGATAATCTTGAAATAATAAATTAAAACGAATTTGTTCAGTCCTTTTTATACGCTTTTAATATTACAAAACCAACACATAAAAATGTCATGTTATATTTTAATGTGAACCGTCTGGAAACATTCAATAACCCGAAATATATAATTGAAGAAATCGGGAACCACGTCTCCATTTTCTTAGAATATATGTCTAATTAAAAACATATTTACAAATGAATGGTTTCCCTATACGTATGTATGTGTGAGATGGTTAAATTTATTGAATTCGAAAATTCGAATGGAACCGCTCCATTTTTGGTAGCAAGAGCGATGTTTGAATATTGAGCACGACAAGCGTAATGTAAACAAACAGATTCCGAATTAAAACAGAGTCAGAATTAATAAGTAAGTATAATGTTGCAATTGTGAAAGTCACTAATGGACCGTACTAGTATCTATTTGATACAATTTCCCAACCGACCCTCAGAACTGAGTGTAATAAAATTTGGCAATGACATTTTGAGTCGTAGATATCATATAATTATTCCATTATAAATTAGCTAATGCCTAAATGATAATAGCTACGAGATAATCAACTTCCACTAAAAAACTTACATCTTAAAATGCATGAATGAATCTTGCTTTCAAAACTTTTTGATTAAGGCGGGTAATATTACTGTAACTGCTGTAACATTAATTTGAAAAGAAAATCATATTTATTGCCACCGTAAACTTATAAAATTTAAGAACCGCGCATTTCCTACAATTGTTTAGAAGTTAATCTGCTACAGCTCTGTATAAAAACGGCTGGAGCTGCGCGCGCGCCGTGCCAGTCGGCGCTTGGTACAACGTGGTACGGCGCAACGCGTCATTATATTGCGACCCGTTCACTAGGTACACGAGCACTTATAGCTTATTTTCTCATAGCTAGCAAGAATAGCTATGACAAAAATATACATGCACTGATGAAATAACAGGACTGTTCCACAAGACGCTCTTTCAGCCTACTAAGAACAGCTTATGGCAACTTATTTCGAGAAATCGTAGTGTTATTAAATGATAAAATAACTATAAAAATAGATCACTATCACGAAAGACCAATCCACATAATATGGTGAGATTAGCGGAAATACCGCTTAAATCGTTTTGAGAAACAAAAACAAATGTAGGAACGATGTAGTAGTGTTATCTAACCCGGCAATGTACTCAAAGAAACAAGTTCTCACGAGAAGTACTAACTGTATAATAAACAAGCTTAAAAAGGCTCACTCACGATTAACGATACGGCACCGACGCGGTAGCTAATGTAACATGTTGCATCATATTCTTCATCCTTGAAAGTAAAACTAGTTCCGGGCTAAGGCCCGGTTTCCACCAAAGCAGAGAGGAGACGAGACGAGAGGAGATGAACTACGAAGCTGGCAGGTTATTTTCACCAAAACGAAGAGGAGATGCGTAGCAGAGAGGAGAAGTGAGCTGGTGTAGCAGAGATGTAAGTTGTGAGAACTTGAAACCAGTCAAGTACTGTACTGTACTGTCAAGTTCAGTCAGTCAAGTCACTAGCTACGAAAGACCGACTTCATGTCGTTACGATAGTTATATCTTAATTTGCTTGAGGAAGAGTAATTAGAGGTTGAATTATTACGATGAATTCTTAAATATTTAAATTATCGACGGCAACATAGATTCTGGATAAGAAACCATATAAAATGTCACACTATTTCAAGAGTTTGCTGGGAGAAGGCAGCGGGGAACGAAGCGCGCGAAACTGCGCAGCCCGGCCGCCACTTGGTCGCTCGCGGCACAAAATTCTATGGAAAAATGAGACATCTCCTCTCCTCTCCGCTTGATCCATTTCCAAAGAAGCTAAGCGGAGAGGAGATATGGAAATAACGAAATCCAATTGGTTTTCCAAAACACATCTCCTCTCTGCTTTGGTGGATACCGTGCCTAAGACTTTCTTATAAATTTCACTTGTCACTTGAAGGTTTGGACACTAAAAAACTAACTACCAAATCCAAAGCTTATATTTGAACATTGTTACCCAATATTAGCTTCCTGAACTGAATTAACTACTTCCAGGTGATGAAGAAATTAAAGCTTTGTATGAATATTTAAGAAATATCGTATCGTATGGAGCGAACAGATACATAACTAGCAGACAACTATATAACTAGCTGTTTTAAATTCGTAAGCTTAAGCAGTCAGACCAGTTACTAGATTTTGATCTTAAAAAGTGGAACAATGAGCAGAAGGCACAATAATGCCACAATTAGGACTTAGTTGTATATTTTACGGGTTATATTATCAATATTAGTTTTTTGTTCTCATTGCGAGATAATTCATGATCATTTTATAAAATTATAAGTTGATAAAATCACAGCGGAAGGAAATAATTATTTAATAACTTCCTACGTTTTCTGAGCTTTCCACTTTTACACGGTGATTATTGCTGATATCTTACGTATATGTAAGTGTATGTATGTAAGTTTGAAAGTAAAATAAAAGTAGTCTAGAGCATGAAAATCTTAGTTCTTTTACAGAGGCTGTGACTAAGTGCCAACAAGATCGGTAAACAAAGTCGGCAGGTAGTTGGAAGGTTGCTGGATAGTAGCGAAAAATAGCTACTTCTCTCATCTTAAAAGAATGATAAAAATATGGAGATAGTTGCACTTGTACAATCTATACATTATTTTACAAGCTTGGGGACAAAATATACTGAGTAGGTTGGCTATAGAATCAAGCTTAGTCATCTTCTTGTTTACTGTCTAGAAATAAAAACCACGTACATACTCGTATGTACTGTTTAATGAGGATAACACGCAACTTATTTCAATAACCTAATATTATTTCTATATATTACACTAAGCATATAGAAGAGCGCGTAACAATGACGTTAGGGAACACAAACAGTACAGAGTAACTATATCATTTAGATACATGTAAATATTTCCACGCAGCAGCTGGTTAGTTTACACATACATATATATATTATATTTGTATGTTTATTCGTACACACATGTGTGTAGTGCTTAACTTACGAGCTGAGAAGGAAAATCACTAAAACAATACGCATTCGTTAAAATAACTCTTCTTGTTATACGTATACTGATGAAATCCTTAAAGTAAAATGGTGTTCATAGCGTTTCCACGATTATAAATATTCTGTGCCTTTGCTTAGGGTCCCTGATTGCTGTATGGGTATACATACTTATTCAACTTAATACACTTTATAAACTTACTGCTATCTTCTCATAAAGAAACCCACACATATTTCCACCATACATCGTGCGCCACTCCCGGAATAGTTATTGATAGTGCTTAAATAATCATTA